GCAACGAAATCGGAAAAAAAGGAATTAATGCTGACGGCTAATGATCAGATAATAGGCAACGGTTCGTTCCAAGAACATCCAAGACAATTATGGACACGGAGAAGTTCAGGAGGAGAAACCAAATACCAAATTGACTACATAAGCATCAAGAAAAGATTAAGGAATGTAGTAGTTCACTGCAAAATCTATCCACGGACACTGAAGAAGTCTAACGCAGCACACAAATTTCTATACAACAAACTCCTAAACGACCCAAATCTGAAGATAGAAACGTCAAAAGAACATACGTATGATAAAATAGAAATGGAAACTCGAAATAGAACGCACAAAGAGACAGAAAAAAACAGACTAGAGTTGGGACAAGAACAGTCCGGGTTCCTTAAAGACACTGGAAAAAGGAAAGCAAAATTCCTGCTCACAATGTTATCAGGAAGAACAATAAAAATGCAGAAGAACGCATACCTGTGCTTTATAAACGAAATGAAGTCATTCGACAAATTAAGTCACAAATCTGTTAGAGCGGTTCAACAACCTTGACATATTCGAGCAAGACATTAGAATAATGAAAAATCTCTACTAGCAGTAAACAGCCAGCATATGGATTTACTATGAGTTCAGTAGTTATAGAAGAATAGAATGGGGTATAAGTCAAGGATCAGTTTTCTCACCGGATTTATTCAACCGCGGCGATTCTGAGACATCTGGAAATTCTTCCAGGATTTTTCATTGGCGGCCAAAATCTTAACAACATAAGATACGCAGATGACACAGTGCTGATTGCAGACACGGAAAGGACATTATAATGCCGCCTGTAGAAGGTAGCAAAGGAGAGTGAGAGGAATAAGCATAAACTACAAAAACAATGCTTAGTCATCAGCAAAATGATGATCCCAAAAGGCAATTTACAGGTCGGGTACAGTAAAGTGCGACACTTAGATCCGAAGAAGTATCGGAATGGATCTATTCCAAAAGCTAAGCTGAATATTACGAGACATGAAAATTTTGTATGTCAGCGAATGCGGGACAATTTCCTCGAAGATGAAGAAGAGACTTGAATCAACAGGAATGTGATTCTACAAAAAGAATCTGAGGATACAATAGGCCGAACATGTTAGCAAGGACGAGGTGTTCGAGAGAATACAGACAAAGAGGAAACTTATACTTAACATCAGGAAGAGGAAGCTGAAATTTCTAGGACACGTAATGAGGAAGGAGGGCTTGGAAAATCTGATACGCACAGGGCGGATGGAGAAAAAGACGGAAAGTGTAAAGCGTCGCTTGACATAATGAGCTTGAGCATGTGGATGGCAGACCAGGGTCTGGGAGAAATAACAAAAAGACAAAAATTATTAAGAACTACAAGGAACAGGAAGAGTTTGAGGGCCATGATCGCCTACGTTCAGTAGAGACACGAAACATAAAAGAAGATATTTATATGTATGTGTACGTGCGCGAGTGCGTCTGTGTGGCTGCAATATTGTGTTCAAGCAAGAAAAAGACTGTCTCTACTTGATGTTGACCTCAGTGTTTATTTTGTATTTCCTACGGCCTATTCCTGATATTGAGCACTTTAATCCATAAATATAGCATACCTTCAGACTATTTTTTAATCATATATATATATATATATATATATATATATATATATATATATATATATATATATATATTCTGGGGAAAGCGTATACGATAATTAAAGCATGTCCCAAAACTGTGTATGTCGATCCGGTTAACCTACAGGGAATACTGAACTAAATCCTTTATTTAATCTACGGGAGTAGACTGTTCTTATCCCACTGCTGATGTCTAGGAATATCGTCTAGTTCTTATTTCATTTACCACAGCAGGTAAATTAAATAAAGGGCTCCGTTCAGAATTCCTTGTAGGTTAGCCAGATCGATATACACCAGAGGAAACCCTGGAGGGGGGAACAACGACCGAAATGTTGTGATAGCAACAACAAAGATGAGGACATTAGTCTGAATATAAATTGTGTAAATAAGGAAGAACAAGGGAGGGAAATATAGCGAGAGAGCAAAAAGAGAATGAAGAAGAATGGAAAACAAAACGAAGAAAGAACTTAAGTGAAAGAAGAAATTACATTGAGAAAAAAGAAAAGAAAATATCATTAGAAAAATAGAATCAAAGAAAAAATAATGGTATAATAGAGCAGAATATGCCAACCTGGGTGATATCGTCCATCGGGTCTGTGATCATGGCCCTCCACGTCCTCTTCCTTCTAGTTCTGAATAAGTTTTGAATTTTTGTGTGGGCGATAAGCAACTGAACAATATTTGGTGGGCAATATAAGATTTTTGAGTATCAAAATATATTCCAAAGAGATATACTAAGAAACTGTACTAAAAAAACAAAAGAAACAGGAGGCTACATTTTGATAGCTCGGTCAAATTCTAACATAATGTATAAATATCCCCGAAAACACGAATCAATTTTGTATTTTCTATAGTTTTGTTTCAGACGAAATAACATTATTTTTTAAGCTATAAATCAGATAATAAAAAAATTGCCAGTAAAATTACGAAATAAACTCAGTATAATTTTTATTTAATATAAAATTGTTTTCACTTATTTTATCAAATTGGTCACCTCGATGCAGAAAAAGTACCCGCTAACATATAATTTCCTGATCACTGTCTGCTTTTGAGTATTTACTACGCAGATGAACGATAGAACATTGTTCCATGTGAAAATAGGCGATGATGCTAAAAAGGTTTGGAACCCCTTTAATAGGGGGAAGAAATATGAATGAAATAAAGAGTGAATTAACGAAAGGAAAATAGAAGGGTCCGAACAAAAGACTGAAAAAAGGATGAAGAAAATTAAAGAAAGTTACAGGTGCAACCCTAACTGACATCATTGAAACGAAATTAAATTGGTTTCATGTTGAACGATAATAAGATTTATTTAAAAAAATTCGAAGAAGATATTAAAAGGGATGTAGATTATATAACTGATTCAAAAAGTTCCATCTACTCACCTCTTGTGACACCAGATACGTCAAGTTGGTAGTCCAGCTCGTGTCAAACACGCTGTAGCATGCCTTGCGTAACATTCTCCAACGCGTCTATGGTTTTCTGTTTAAGTTCCTCTAGGCATGTAGGAAGAGGTGGGATATAGACCTGCCATTTCCCATAGCCCTATTGTAAGAAATCAAGTCAAGTCTGATTAACTTGTTGGCCATTTCAACAACACATTATCCTTATCACTGGTACGCCAGATCCATCTTCCTGGTAGAATATCATTAAGACAAGTTCGGACAGTGAACTTAGTTTTTACATATTTTGTTAAAATTTGAGTTTCTTTAAGAAATGACGTCACTGTTTTGGGGACACCATCTACACTGAAGGGAAGGGAAGAAGCCAAAGTTGAAAAGCAGAACGAAATAAAGAATGACACGAACGGAAAATGAATACTAAAGAAAAAAAAAAGAAGAATTTTTTTTTTGAATAGTGCGAGTATATTTTTACGTTTACTTAAAATGAACAGATTTAATTTTTTATGAATATCTTAGTTAAAAAAAGAAATTTTAAAAATTAAACATATTTCACAAAATCGTATTAACTTATTTTCCCTCCTTTTCTCCAAGGCAAACGCAAGAAAATGTTATCGATTTTGATAATTCCTTTTAATCTTATATAATAAAAAATAAAATTAAAATAAAAAGAATTGTTTATAGTTACTTCGTTCAAACTTTTTTTCAGTAAATACATTTCTCTATATATAATGAGAGTGATCTCCCTTGATGTTCCGATGACGTCATGTACTGAGGCGGGAGATTTGAGCATGCGCCTTGTTGAAATTTCTAATGTCGCAGTGTCACAACAGAAACGAAACAGTAAGATTTGGGTGCCAATTAACATTCGATTTGATTGAATTATAAAAAAAAACTCAAGATGGGAAACAGTATGTGCAATAAATCGCGATACTTTTTAAGAACTGCAAACTTTAAAACCATATTTAGAATTCCGATAGATTATTTAACATTGCCTTTCTTTGTAGTGATTTCTGTACGCTATCATAGTTCTCCATAACTTCCTGTCTTTTTGTAGCTTAAAGTATCTTTTTTTGTATTTTTCTTATCTCTCCTAATGCCTGTTCTGATAAGCATTTAAAACAATTTGTTAGGTAGATTATTTGCTGATTTCATCTGTCCCTCTTCACTTCAATATGTCAAGTGAGTGTCCTATTTAACAGTAACCACCGAATAAATTGCATCTAGGATTAAGTAGGTGATGGTCTAAGAGTATTCTTTCTTTTCTTTTCTATTTCTCTTGGTAAATTTATCGGCCTGCCCAGAAATACATATAGCAGAAGAGAGAATAATGCAAATTCATGGTATACATAAAGAACTGCTACACGTAAAAAGGAAAGAAAAAATTTCTTACAATTTGAAGTTTTTTAATGCCACACTCTAACGCGTTTCTTCAGGTTCCTCAAGACTTTTGTACGCCTTATTTTTTCCATCACAATTCTTTTCTGTTTGCGTCTCTCTTCGCCCGGGTTATTTTCGAACGCGACAACTTGCATTACAACTTCAATTACAAACAGGACCACAGACAAGACAATTGAGATACATGGTAGAATATTTAAATCTTCAGAGTACAATATGTTTATGAGTTTCGACAATTCCCCGTAATATTTACTTTCACTTTCGATTTTAGGTTTCAATTACTCGTTCCTTTTATCTGCAATGTTTGTTTCAAAAACTACTTTCCATGATTGAAGAAGATAAATAATATTCAAATTCGATTTTTTTCATTAAAATATAAGCATTATATACGTCGAATCAAATTATGAAGGAACTAAGGGCTGGATAATATAAGCAAGAATATCCAGAAAGAGAATAAGCGGAAAGAAAGAAAGGATATTAGAAAGGTGTTGTAAATAAATAGATTGTATGAAAAGAAAGAAAGAAAGGATGAAAGAAACGAAGAAATTAGATGAAAGAAAATTCGAAGGTTAATATAAACGAATGGTTGTCAGAGTACGAAAAGATGAAAGAAAGAAGACGTCAAGGAAAAAAGTAATAAAGAAAAGGGAAGAGGTGATAGAAATAAATTAAGTGTGAGGAAAGAAAGAAAGAAAAGAAAGAAAGAAAAAAAGAAGGAAGGACATACATTTAGAAAGCTTTTATCAATAAATAAATTGTAGGTAAAGCCAGAACGAGAAAAAAAGAATTTTAGAAGGGTGCTATAAGTGAATATAAGAAAAGAAAGGTGTTTGAGAAAGGCGATGTAAATAAAGAAATTGTAGTGAGAGGAAAAGAAAAAAATAACAAAGTCAGTAAATACTAAATTGTAGGGAGAAAAAGAGAGAAAAGGGCGCCAAAATAAGAGGGGGTGAAATTGAAGAAAATGAAACAATTTGAAAAAGCAAATTTTATCAATAATGGAAAATTGAAAGAGCGAACGAATAAAGAAATATTTGTACATAAATGTTGATTCGGGAATTATCGCCATATTTGACGCAGTTTCATTATTCCAGTCTCTTAGAAATTAACATCTTTCTCTCGTATTTTTAACAAGCTTCAACTGAACTGAACTCTCTCCCTGTTAAGATAATTTTGTAGGAATGGAAATGTAGTAAATCGAAAGTACACGATCAGGTGAGTACGACGGGTATAGTAGGGTATCCTTGCCAAGCTGTATCATTTTCTGCCGGCGCTGCCAAAAACTATGGCGTTGACCTGGTAGAAGCCGACACTTTTCGACGTGAGCAATTCCAGATGTTCTTTATCGATTACTGATTGGCCTAAATGAAAAACGGTAAAATTCAAAGTTAGATGTTTTCGGAAGTGTGCGTCGTAATAGACAATTCATAATACAGCATCGCATTCTTCGCTCGCCGACTGGCTTTATTCTTTGCCCAATATATTTTCAATCCCAATTACTTGAAACAATCCATTTTTCATCACCTGCTAAATGTTTTTCCTAAGAAAATCAGTCGGTTTTGTGGTATTTAAGCAGAGGATACGCAGTTCATGAAAAAATTTCCCTTTAAAATGTATGACAAACAAAATGTTTTCAAATGCCTGACAACTCTCATACATCATGATTATCTTTACGATGCCTCTAGTCATGTGACTTGGATTATCATGTATCTTTATTTCGAGTGAGCTTTCCATTGTTCTCCATTTTTACCATTTTAACGTAGAAAACGCTGAAACCACAACTGAATATAGAAATCTTCTGTACATCATTATGTCCAAAACGCTCAATTTTTGTTTCATAACTCCATAGTATTTGTTCCGAAAAGCAATTTTCTTTGTTCAATATTTTGTCAAAATAAAACTGAGCAACAATGTGACATGGTTTGTGAAGCGAGGCTCTTAGTTGTCGGTTTCCATACAACACATTTCTATATAAACAACGTTTTATTGTGCGGAAGGAGGCACGGTCGAGTAATTATTGAGAAATCGGAGATCCGAGTTCTAATTCCAATCGAAACCATTACATTCACTTACGTGCTAATGCCCTTGGGAAAGGTATAATTCCTCTTCTTCTACCCCAGCTATGGGTATATCGCAGGACAGACCGTGTTCTATAGCCTTGCTGGCAACTGGTCTACTGCAGAAAGAATTTTTTTTTTAAGCATTACGCCCCGAGCAAAGCGTGAAGCCACCAGGATGCAGGGGGTTGCAGAAGATTTGGAGCGAGAGCAGATAGGAGTGATAGAAGAAAGGATGAGGAGAAGGATAGTGGGTAGATCAAGGTAACTGGAGGTGTCGATTGACATTACATTTGAATAGTTGGAGATTATAGCTCTCAGGGAAACAGTAATTGGGAAGGGTGTTCCACAGGCGAGAGGTGCGAGGTATGAAGCTATTGGAGTAGAAGAGACGGCTACACTTAAAAGTTTCTATAGTGTAAGGGTGGGAGCGGGATGCCAGCCTCGTAGGGCGCTTGAATTCATGGAGTCTGGGAATCAGTGAAAGCAGCTCATCGGAGCAATTACCATGAAAGTATTTGTAGAAAAGACAGAGAGAGGCGACGGCGCGTCTGTGAGAGAGTGACTGCAGACGAGACGCCAGATCAGGGCCAATTACATTACATATCCGTCTCTGGATCTTGTCAAGAACTCCGAGGTAAATAGAAGGTGTCCCGGACCATATATGGCAGCAATACTCCATGCAAGGGCGAATGGTTGTTTTGTATATTTGAAGTATCGATTCCGGGGAGAAAAAATTCCTGGCGCGGCACAGAGAGCCACGTTTTCTCGCGGTGGAAGAAGCAATTGACTTAATGTATGTGTACCATCTCAGGTCAGCAGTCAACGTGAGACCGAGCAGACGCAAGGAGTTGCTCTCAGGAAGTTGACTATCAGACATTTTAATGGGAGGCAGGGAAGGATCTCTATGGTGGTTAATGGAGAGTAGTTTAGTTTTAGAGGCGATAAAGTTGACCAGCCAATTCTTGCCCGAGTTAACAACCGATTGGAGGTCCATTTCAAGACGCACGGCCAGGTTGGTTTTGTCGCCGACACTAGATTTGTTTTTGGGACAGGAGTAAATTGTAGTGTCGTCCGCGTAGATGCCAACTTGGGAATCTATGGCGTCAGGAAGGTCGTTGATGAAAATAAGAAAGAGAGTGGGGTCAAGGATGGAGCCTTGGGGAACACCTGCGTTCGTGGGATCGGAACTGGATGAGAATCCGTTGAGAAGGACCTTCAATTCTCGGTTTGACAGGAATGATTGTATTAGATCAAACAGTCGACCAGTAATACCATAACCTGGAGCTTACGAAGAAGGCCGGCATGCCAAATCCTATCAAATGCTTTGGAGATGTCTAGGGCCACGGCACGATTCTCACCGTTATTTTGAAGGGCTTGGTAGACGGTTTCAGTGATGACCGCAAGCACATCAGCTGTAGATTTGGCATAGCGGAAACCATATTGCTTGTCTGAGAGCAGATCATGGGATGTAAAGTGGTTAACCACTTCAGCATTGATTAAGGCTTCGAAGACTTTGCCGAAGAGGGGTAGGAGACTAATAGGACGGTAGTTAGAGGAGTCAGAGGGGTCTCCAGAGTTCTTAAAGACAGGAACAATGGATGAGGACTTCCAGCAGTCAGGAAAACAGGATTCCTTGAGGCAGTAATTATACAGTTTAGAGAGGGCAGGCGCTAGCTCAGGCGCGCATTTCTTCAAGAAAATGACTGGTATGCCATCACCACCACTAGCTTTGTGGGGGTCTAAATTAGAGATAATGCCAAGTACCAATGACGGGGTTATGTGTAAGCCGCTCAATAGGGCATCAGTTCTTAGAGGGAAGTCTGGTATGGCTACACCGGACCAGTCGAGCGTTGAATTAAATGAGAATTTCTGAGCAAAGCATTCAGCCTTGTCGGTAGAGGAGGTCAAGACCTCGAACTGGTTGAATGAAAGAGGTATGGAGGATTTTCTATTGTTCAAGACACTCTTGCAGAGCCGCCAATAATCTTTGGAGCCAAATGTGCGAGATGCATATTGAAATATTGACTTAGCTTCGTTGAGACACGCTTACACTCCTTACGGGCGGAGGCAAAGAGACGTCTATTGCAGTCCGACATGTCACTACGAAATATGTGAAAGAATTGATTCCTATGGGCAATGGCGGCTGAGCAAGCAGCGGAGAACCAAGGGGAGGAGTGCGACTTGACCTTAAATTTCCTTGAGGGGATGAAAGCGTCGATTCCAGCTTTAACCCAGGATGAGACCTCAGAAGCACATTCTTGGACAGGGAGTGTAAAGACAACATCCCAGGGGACATCGCGGAGGAAGTCACGGAACGAGTCCCAATCCGCTCGTTGATAGTAGAACGAGGTTCTAGTGATGGGAGGTTCTTTGCGGGGTGTGGAGTTGCGGCATGATCGGAGTTACCAAGAGGGCAGAGCTGTGTGGCGCTACAAGATTCGGAGATGGAGGTAAAACACAGATCGAGAAGGGAGGCCTTACCTGCCAGGTTGAGGGCAAAATGCGTGAGGAAGTCAACTATCTGTGTGAGGGATTGAGAAATTGAAAAGTTATGTGTTTGAATGCCAGCCTGGTTAGTAGTAGCATTCTCGAGCCACTTGGTATGATGGGCGTTAAAGTCACCAAACACGAATATGTGAGCAAACGGGTGGAGAGAGAGGGCCTTGTCTATGCTGTCAGATATGCTATCTAGTATCCCACAGTCTTGAGAGGATGGAGAGCGATAGAGGAAGAAGAGATAGCTTACGTCATTGAGGAGAGATACTCGGAGACACATGTACGAATGGTCTGGCGATTCGAGAGACAACTCTCTGGCCAGGGGGAGATGGTCCTTGACATAGACACCAAGGCCGTGCATGTGGGTTAGAGAGTCTTTCCTGAGGAGTAGAAGGTAGCCGGGGATCGATACAAATATTCAAAATTGATGGATGTACCAATAATTTTATCGTTGACTGTATATGAGAAAAAAATTCTCAGAATTAATCCGTAGAAAAATACAGTATGTACAAAGGAAAAAAGAGAATAGGAAATCTGTATGTAGTTTGAGCTGACGCGGGATGTCACACAAGGTCAAATTTTAACATGTGAAAATTTAGGCAAATCTATTTTTAGCTTGTTGTAAATTCATTTCATTCTGAAAAAAGTTCATATTGGACGAAACACGCCACCTAAAACTACATACCTGCATGTTTCCTATTGTCTTTCTTTTACTTTATATATATATATATATATATATATATATATATATATATATATATATATTTTCTTTGATATTTGTAGGTAAAGGTGATCGCCCGTTTGATATATTGCGATGATTGTAAATTTAGTGAGCGTTACTGTATCTTGAGCAGGCCAGCGTTTCCAGTTTATTTTGAAATTTGAAATTTCTCTTTATTTATCAATTTATTTATTTATTTAAATGAACACTACCTACAAACCTTTTCCCGCACCTTTTGTTCTATTTTATTTTATTTTACTTTTCGTCTATGAAACAGAGTTCTTCCCAAGTGTCATCTGCGTATTTTTTAAAAACATAGGATATACTTTGTGCCCTATGAGCAGGAAAACCAACGAAAGTCGCACACCTAAACGTAGGTATTTGTATATTTATATATATCTTTCTTCTACCTAACCACATTATGTTTACACCTCATTAAAAAATTTGATGATTATTTATTTGCTTGTCTGTATATATCATTGTTTGATTTATCGTAATCTGTACCTTTAAAATATTTTTAAATAGTTTTTTTGGAGATAACAATTGTTTAGTGTTACAAATATTACTAATTAACCCATAGATAGGGGATAACAGGTGCATTCATACCTTTCCCAGAGGTATTTGCACGCAAGTTCATAATGAACCCAACTGGAATTGGTACTCGAATACCCGATGAACAATTCCGACACATTATGCATTAAATCACCCGCAGATCCAAGCTTAGAGCACCTGATATTCCCAAGTGATAACCCATTTAGATACTGA